ACTGGAGGTCTGCCTGTTACCCAAATTCAGAGCATCTGTTTTAGCTGCCTACGGGCTGAGGGGCTGATCCAAGCCAGGAGGAATACATGGAACCAGCGTGCTGATACCTGAAGTATTCTCCACCCTTTGTGCATTAAATAACCTGCTTATTTATTTCCTTACTTATTCCTGAGTCCTCACAACATTCCCGTTTCCCTGGGCAGGGCCTGCTGCTGGTGAAGGAATTTTCCTGCCACCAGCTGCTCTCGGGGCTATTGGAAATGCAGGTGAACCAGTGGGCAGAAATGCTGGTGGCTGACTCCAGCTCAGAGGGCTGAATGATTTATTATAACTATGCTATAGTACATTAATTTACTATTTAAAGGAGATACTGAAACTACAAACCTACTTTTCTAACTCCCATAACTCACTGACAACTCGTGCCCCTCTCTGAGAGTTCAGCCCTGGGTGGGTTGGATTGTCCAGCAGCTCAAACAACCCTCACCAGAATCCAACCAAGCAACACCCCAGATAAACAATTCTCCAACCACACTCCACATGGGAAAACAAGGAGCAGAAATCAAAATTGTTTTCTCTTTCTTCCCTGTCTCCTCTGTGAAAATTCCTGAGGGAGGAGAACGTGGATGCACACAGGTCACCTTTGTGCACAGCTGGAGCAGCGACCAGCCCACAGCTGGCTCCAGGCTCAGCTGTGCCTCCATTTGCCTCTGCTGAGGGCTGGTGCAGGCTGCCCTGGGAAATCCATCAGGGAATAACCTTCCCCTCTCCCATTACAGGAGCAACAGAACTCGCTTCTCCTCAGAGGAGGACAATTTTGAACACGTCTCTGCCCTTTTGTCACGCAAAACTCAGTAAGAAATACGAATTTATAAACCAGAACAATACCAAAAAGGCAACTTTACTGGAAAATCCCTACTAAGCAACTGCTGACCACAGCTTTGCCAAAAATCAAAGCAAATCCAAGTGCTGAAGATAAGCTGCTGCTAGAGCTGATAGGCATCTCCAGCCCTCGTCCCTCACAGCTTGGCTGAGGGTTGGAATTGCAGCAGAATTTCTAGAGCATCCATGAAAACATCAGCAAATGAATTATGCCAGGGAAAAAGAAAACAGTAGTGTGAAACCATGCCAGATCTCGCAGTTGAATACCCAGCTGGGGAACTGCCCAGCTCCAAACAAGGCAGAAAATAAGTATATTTAATGTAAAAGAATCCTAGCATGAAATAGGCTCTGTACTCCCGTGGCCACGGCTGATTTCCTGCTCGAGGCTGCCGTTTGACAGCCTGTTTGCAGATCTCCTGCTCCAAACCCTCGTGGCTCTGACTGCAGCCCAGCCTCGTGGGACCCCAGGGTGCTTCTGTGCTTTGGGGTTCTCTGGAGCCCGGCTGGGCGCTGGAGACATCCCGGGAGGGAGGATGGGGGTCCAGTGGGAAATGCCCCTGCTCCCTGCAGGCACTAAATGGCTTTTAAAGGCCCCTTCCAGCCCAAAGCAGCTCTGGGGGCTCCTTCCAGCAGGGGGGATGAGGATGCTGAATTAAACGGAAACCACAGCTCCAGGCACCCAGCCCCTGCCAGCTGTTAATTCCATGCAGAGCAATGAGCAATGTTTGCTCCTGTTCCCTTGGATTACTGGAAGTGACACAATCATTATTTCACGGGGGCTCAAAGCAGCATGAGCCAGATTAGCTCGGGCTGGCACCTGTGGAACGGGGGGCAGAGCTGTCAGGAGCAATGTTCAGGCTGGCAATGCCACTGAAACTGCCAGCTGAATCCTGTGTGAGCCCAGCACTGCCAGAGAGCTGCTGGGAGTACAGAGAGGGATCTCCTGCACTGGGAAGCTACGTGCTAATCCCATGCTTTATCCCAGCTCTTTCAGGCACGAGGCTTTCAAAATCATGGCCTATTGTGCAGTACACAATGATATTATTCTGTGCCTATTGTCCTAAAAGCAGACGCTTACAGGCTGGAGCAAAATCCCCTTTGGCCTCTCCTGCCCTGGGCAGAAGGTCAGAGGGGTAAAGCAGCTCCCCAGGAGCTGTCAGTGGTGTGTGAGGCAGGAATTGGGACCAGGGGACAGCCCTGT